AAGAGTTAGATCGTTAAGGGGTTTTTTTGTTGTTGTTTGAGACTAAATAACAAGTGAAGAAAACACATGTTCAAATCTAACACACTAGAAACATGTTTATTTTCACTGGTACAAGAATGAACCGCTTAGTTCTTTGCTTTCCCCCAAGTATGGATTTAATCTACAACATGTGCATTTCTTGAAGCGATTTCTTCACTAATAAGAATTATTCTCCTGAAATACCCACCCATCAAAGAGAAAGGTGACGTTACTGATTTTCAAAATTCCGATTCCTGTTATGTCAATAGCAACACTGGAAGGAGAATCAAAGGCTTAAAGAGAATCGGCATTGGTGGTGAAGGCTGAACTTGTGCAGGGCGCTAAATGACCTGCGATCTAGTGGACTGAACAATAAAAGTCCTACAAGTAACAACTAGAGAAAAGCAACGTGCAGCAAGTCCTTGCTGGTAGAAGTTAATGTGCTTAAGTATGGGAATAGTCTATGGAGGGTTACAAATATGTGTGTTTTCTTGAGAGTCTAAGGTCTGGGGTGCACAGTCCTGGCTGGGCAAAACACCCATCTGAACAGACAACAGAAAGTCTCACCAGAAGGGGCACATGTGTGACTGTAACTCCCACAGATTTTGTGCAACAGAAACTCAAAATGGTGATTGGGTCCTTTGTCCCTCAATGTTAAAGCAAAGAGCCAGTGTGATGTACCTTTTCACTGATGCATCCAATGTACTTCGCAGCGTCAGACTTCAGTCTGTATTTGCAGCAACAGTCGACAGTCGGCAGCTGCTGGGAGACCCCTGAAAGGGAAGCAGAAGCGGCTAATGTTCTAAATCAGGATGAAGGCTCAGGATTTCAGGACTTACTTTTTTTTTTTCTTTTTTGTAGAGGGCAGTGTCACTGGCCCTCACATGTGGGATCCAAACCGGAGCCCTCCGGCGTCCCAAGCCAGTTCCTAACCATCGCGCCACTCGGCCGGCCCAGGACTTACTTTTGATGCAAACCTTTGTGTCAGTTCTTCTTTTGATGACTGGGATTTTGAGGTGCTGCTTGGGGACTGTGGTTCCAGACGCTGGTCAGTGTGACGTCAGGGAAGAGGCAGGGGCCCCAGCACACTCTTCCAGAGTGACCGCTGTACATTTTATTTCATTTGTAAGATGGGAATGAGATGCCCCGCCCGCGTCTCAGGGTTATCACAACAATCAAATGCGCTATGAAGTGACTGGATTTCCCAGGATGTGTTCTCTCAAGTCCTTGAAATCCCCCCCTTTTATTTTTAATTTTATTGGGGAACAGCCATGGTCATTGGTTACACATTGCTTTCATGCTACAATGGCATAGTTGACTCTTTTAGGGAGGGCGCAGCTCACAGTGGCCCATGCGGGGATCGAACCGGCAACCTTGGCGTTATCGGCACCACGCTCTAACCAACTGAGCTAACCGGTCACCCCTCAAAGTCCCTGAAATCCCTTTTAACCCTCATGAGAAGGCTTTGAAGTTGTTCTACCCATTCTATAGATGAGGAAACAGAGGCTTAGAGAAAAAAGTTGCCCAAGACCACACCCTAGGAAGTAACAGGGCTGGGACGAAAATTCAGGTCTGATTCTAAAACACCGGGGAACCATTGGATATATGGTTTTCCACTTCTCCCTGAAACAAGGACCTGCTTCTGTCTGTGACTCCTGTCCCAGCTGACAGCTCCAGGCCCTGTTTGAGTAATTGTCAAGTTAATTCTTAGTTAGGGGAGCAAGCTTTAGTTATCACTGGGGGACCCGAGGGCTGCGTCTTCCAGGAATTTGGTGGACCCCAGCAGGGAGGCAACCACAGGCCTTGGGCGAAAGATCACTTTTCAACAACATTGTCAATTTCAGGACCCCCGACCTTCCACCTGCAGGTCCCTGAACAGCTGCCTTTCTGTGGGAAGCAGTGGTGGGTCTGTCTTCCTTTAAAAGGCAAATGCATACCCCCTCCCAGCCCCCTGCTGAGATCCCACCTGGGATTTCATCCCCAGAGCTGGGGGTCATCTCCCACATCAAGAAATTAAGAAGAAAAAAAAGGCGGGGGAGTACAGCTTTGACAACTGACCTAAACTCTCCCTTTTAATATAAGCCAGACTTAACATATGTCATTCTGGAAATCCGGGAGTCCAATTTGAGGCTTGTAATTTGCTGCAACCTTCCCTCCCACTCCCAGTAATGGTGGACCCGTGCCAAGCACATCAAGGTAACTGGTGGAAGATATAATTTGCCCACTGTGAGCCTGCGTTTCAGTTCCCTATTGTCATTTTTATTTGTGTTGAGGTTTTGTGGTTTTCAAAAAGTCAACTAAATTTATTTTAAAATTAAGGCAAACCAACATCAAAGGCAGCACGAAGAGGATGTTTAGGTATTATAAAGAAGCACTGTGGAATCTTTGCTAGCCGTAGGATTTTTTTCAGGGGCACGTATCAGCCAATGGTTAGGGACCTTTCACTACCAACTTGGTATGTTCTTCTGACCTTGCACTATCCCCAACGGGTGAAAATCCCTTTCCGATGGGATTTAGAAGCCCCCTCAGCTGCTATTCAGCCTCTTAATCCAATCCTGTGTGTAACTCGACATGCTACGGTAAGAACAGTAAAGAATAAGAAATGCAGGCTTAAGGCCTTCCCTACAGCACAAGCTCCTGAGTTACAAGAGTCTAATTTAGTCTGGGGTTCACTTTTAGATGAGGGACACTTTCAGTCCAAAAAATGGGGCCATTTGGTTTATGAGTCATTTACTTAGCAAACAGACGAAAGTTTATATTGCACATTTCTCTTTAAAAGAACGGCAGGTGGCACTTGAGAACTTGTTTGTTTTTTAACGCTACAGAATTTTTTTCAACCCGGATACTTACATAGAATGTTTTTGTTTATTGGCGCTTGTAGGAAACTCATGAGCTTCCTCTGTTCTAGCCACTTATAAGGGTGAGATGATAGACTGATAGATAGATAGATAGATAGATAGATAGATAGATAGATAGATAGATAGATAGATAGATAGATAGATAATAGAAAGGTAAAGTTGTTCCTCAAAACAGCTTTTTAAGACAGGGACTATTATGCCCATTTACAGGTGAGCAAATTGAGCAGCACCTGTCTCTCCCACTCCACAAATCTGTCTCTTTAAAAGGGAGTGGACTTACACTCTGTGGATACCTTGTACACGTTTACAGGCAGAGTCTTCTGCACTCAGTGTTACACTGAGTTTCATGCTGCTGCACTTCTGCTAGTTAACCAGCATCCATGCAGATTGCCTGGCTAACCTTTGGTGCCGAGAAGGCCAATGGCACCAAAACCTCAACTGTCAAAAGAGAGGTTCTGCAAATCCACAGGCAGGAGAAAATGTACAGTAATACGTGCCATTTATATCACTCAGTGTGCATGGAAATGCCCCGGGGAACACTCATGTGTCCCAGAAACTCCCAAGTTTACCCCATGGGAAATTCGCTCCTCGGCGGAACCAGCACAATAAATGGTCCAGGCTCCTGAAGTCACCAGGCTCCCAGTGACTGATGGTTTCTCTAGTTTCATAATATAAAAAATGCCCCAGGGACACCTTCATCATTATGCGCAATCTCCCACTGATAGGATCCTCCCCAGAACAGACAGAGACTGGTCATCAAATTCCTTAATCCACATGAACCGTTGCTTGTTTGCAAGATTGTCTATTTGTAAAGTTGTGGTTCATATGAAAAGCAACCTCAGAGGTAGGAAGCAGCCCGCACTTGACTTTTCTTTCGTTTTGTTAAAGCAAAAGGACTTTGGAATCAAGTTCCGGTTCTTCCACCTGCCTGCTTTGTTAATCTGAGGAAAACGTTTAACTTGGCTAAGCCCTCAGTTTTCTCAGCTGTAAAATGGGAATGATAAACCTATTTCCGGGAAGAGCTGAGATAATTAAAGGATCTAATGTGTATAAAACACTTAGCGCTACCCTTGACACATGGTAAATACTAAGTTGTTAACATTAAACAACACTACACACTTAAGAGCTAAGAAGTTTCAAGTACATTATAGTCTGGCGGAGAGGTCAAATATACGAAGTAATTCTCAGTGTGAGAATTGCTCTAGTATCGATATATTCTTGGGGAATATGAGGTGGCAGCATCTGATGTTCATGGGAGTTGGGTAAGACTTCAAAGAGAAGGTGACATTTAATGGGCTCCCCATGGAAAGTATGGGACACCCCTTGTATTTCTATAATAGATTAAATATAAGTTTGAACTGACCTGTCCTAGAATAGTCAGACCCACTTCTAACTGTTTTTAACAAAAATTATACCCTGCACCTATATTGATTTATCTATAAAAAGAACAGCTTTATTGGTAAGCATGTATATTGCAGAAGTAGACGTGGTTATACTTCCAGCCAATCCAATTAAATTAATGGTCTCTATATACAAGGTTAGGAATGAGAAAAACTCGTAGAGACTATATATATATATATATATATATATATATATATATATATATATATATATATATATATATATATCAGTAAAATGCTCTAGTAAACTCAAGAGAAAAAAATGTGTTGAAATTATGATTCATCACTCCACATAGCATATTTGTGACTATATTTATAGCCTAATTAGCAATAAAATTTTATGAGTTAACATCACCATGAAAACATTCCTTTCTACATTACTGTTTTGTCTGTAGATTTCTAACATTACCATGATCGTCTTCATGTGCTTTTACACATTTTGTTCAATAAACCCAAATGAATGTTCACTAATTAGATATTTAGCTGCCGGTCTTGATTTTGTAAGTTTGAATTCTTATACCTTCCAAGGGTGTGCGCTGTTTGGGGGTGGCGAAGACTTCAGATCTTCTGATAAACATAGAAAGAAGAAACCTGGGAGAGAGAAATACTTGAGCAGAGTCTAAATGAGCTTTCCTAAATGGTTATGTCACAACTTTAACTTGAGATATCTCTCTACATGACTAAAACAGAGATAATAAAACGACTCCTTTCTGGGTATTTTCAGAACTCCTAGTTATAACTATGCACCAAATATGGATAAGCACTGGATTATGCAGTACACGGGACCCATGCTGCCCATCCACATGGAATTTACAAACGTTCTGCATCGCAAAAGGCTTCAGACTTTGATGTCAGTGGATGATTCTGTGGAAAGGGTAAGTACATGAAGTTGCCTCCGTGATGGGTTTTGGTCCAGAGTCTCTTGCCAATCCTGTTTTGTTGTTTCTTTCTTTCTTTTGTTTTGGAGAGAGAGAAAGAGTGTGTCCAGTGAATTTATCAGTCCTCCCTTATCTTCTGCCCTCTTCTATTACCTCTCCAGGCTTCGTTCTTGTGGAGCCAGTAGCAAAGAGGAGATAAAAGTCAAAACATCCTAAATCAAGGGCTACACCCACAAATATCTTCAGGAATTTTAAGCAATAATGGGAATAACTAAAACAGGTCCAGTAAAAGGGAACGGTGGGGATGGTAGTAAACTTGAAGTGAAGTGCCCCATTCAAAGCAGGGAGGAACTACTCAGCTCCAACTAATTTTTGCCATATAAAAATGTGGACCTGGTCTTGTCAGGCCTTCTGACCTTTTAAAAGAAGCCAGAAATACAAAAAATTCATTTGAAATTTTGTGGTTTTTAAAACATGACATAAGGCAAGAAGACCTGTGTAAAGACTAGATCGATAATAGCTGGACCAGTTTCAGAAGCAGCCTGCTTTTAGCCCTTGATAATCAGCTATAAGAGTGATGATAAAATTTGCTTTAACAATGGATTATTCAAAGTAAAATATGTAAGTTTGGTGGTAGAGGCTGTCTTGTTGTTTGGTTTGTTTTTTTCCAAATAAGTGAACAAAGACCTTTAAGTAGCATGTGCCAAATTCAAAATGTTACTTTTCAACTGTATTATTGGACTTTTTCCTTCCAGGATTATAAGCGACAGGGAAATGTGGTTAATGTTTGCATTTGTCAGCCTTTAAAAAATAATGGGAAAAAGATTGGGGGGGAAATCACGGCAACGCTATTGTCATCTTAGGCTGCCACAATTGCTTCTGACTTGTCCCTGTGCTGTGTTTCAGTTGTATAATATGCTGGTGGAAACGGGAGAGCTGGAAAACACTTACATCATTTACACCGCCGACCATGGTTACCATATTGGGCAGTTTGGACTGGTCAAGGGGAAATCCATGCCATATGATTTTGATATCCGCGTGCCTTTCTTTATTCGTGGTCCAAGTGTAGAACCAGGATCAACGTACGTATTCCTCTGTTTGCAACATTCAGATGTCGTAGCTCATGTACGTCGGAGATAATTCGATTACTGATCTCAGTGTCTGGTTTCCTTTCATCCAAAACAAAAAACGGGGTATGTAGGTTGGTAATTTAGAAGATGAAAACCTATACCTCCCCTCACCCCCCACCACATGTTAAATTAACTAAAGTATACTATTTAAACAGAAAGGAAATAGAACTATATCAATGATTAATTCTCCCAAATTGACCAGAATCCATGTCACAAGGACCTGTGTACACAGACACAGAATGTGATCGTTACGAACTTCATCCTTACCTTCTTTGAATCAGAAATACACTGTCTTTTTCAAAAACAGCCAATGCCACCCTCTTAGTTTTATTTATTTTTTTAATTATGACTAAATATTGTTTTCATTACATTTTTCAAGGCATGATTTTCTTTTAAAAGAAGCCTAAAGGGCTGGAGTTCTACTTCTGTCACCTTAGGCAAGTCACTGCATCTCTTTGCATCTCTGTTTTCATGTCATAACATGGGTTTCATGTGCCCTGACAATCACAACAGAATGTGTTGTATAAAACGAGATTGTGTACGTGAAACAATGATGGAAAGATTGGAAGAAAAGAATGCAAGTAGAATTCAAAAACTGGAAGGGCCCTTGAAGAGCATCTAGCCTGGACCCCTGATTTAATGATGAGGAAGCCCCGTAGCGTAAGTGCCTTTCTCAGAGCCCCCGATCCTGGAAGTAGCAGCAGCAGGGCCCAGAACCCAGGTATCTGAACCTCCCCCATGTGCTGCATTACACCACATCCTGGGGAGATGGCAATGGCAGGAAGACTGGTTTCTATGAAGAATGTTATTATGTGTCTTCAGATCACCAGAAACACCTTAGGAATTATCGGATCTAGAGTTAGAAGGCTTTACGTTTGAAAGACTTGGTAGCATGGATTGGACTCAACTATAAAAACCTCGTATCCTTCCTTAGAAGACTGATTTTAAAGTTCAACAGAGGAATTATGGACAATCGGGTTTTCAAAGAAAGTGTACATCCTACAAAGACCATATATCAGGCTTTGTCTGACAGTGTGGCCAGAGCTCAGGGGTCTGGGCGTCTCTCCAGCCGGACCCCTGTGAGAGCCTGTTAATCTTGCTCTGTGCCATCGCTAACCGCTGAGCCAGCCTGGCCAAGTGGAACTAACCCTACAGATGCGAGAGGAGAAGCACGGATGGCCAGTGAGTCATGATGTGGAGAAAGCGGTCCTATGTGCCGCCCTCCACCGGTGTTGGGTTTGGGTCATAACCATCTGCCTCTTTGCAGAGTCTCGCAGATCGTTCTAAACATTGACCTGGCTCCCACGATTCTGGACATCGCTGGGCTCGACCCTCCTCCCGATGTGGACGGCAAGTCTGTCCTCAAACTTCTGGACCTGGAAAAGCCAGGTAACAGGTGGGTCCATTTTCTTTCCCTCAGCCAGTCCCAAGCACACCGGCACCCAGAGCCAGCCAGCAGCTGAAAGGTGGAGGCAAAATACCCTTTGTCCGTGCAGATCACCCCGAGCTGAGAATTTCTCGCTTGTTTTTAAATAGCGTATTGATGGAGACGCAGTCATGGTCTGTGGGAAGTAAGAGGTGTTCCTTTAAATAAACTGTTGGCGCAAATCTGTTTGGAAAAATGTCCAGATGCCAACTGTAAATATTATTATTTTGTTTGCAGGTTTCGAACAAACAAGAAGGCCAAAATTTGGCGTGATACATTCCTCGTGGAAAGAGGGTAATTATTGGTTCCTGGGGTGCTTCTGGGAACCAGTCCTACTGGGCAGCTCTCCCTGCTGGGTATTTTTTTTTCCCTCTTATTTTGGTCTACTAAACATGCAGATTTCGTAAGCCTTGTAACAAGATTGAATGATTTGCTAGTCATTCTTTGCTCGCCAGCAGACTAATGATTGTTGCATCAGAACTGTAAAGAATAGATTTTCTTAAAATGGCACCAAAGCCCTTAGATGGCTGTGATTTCACTGTTATGTTTCCCAGCCTTGGTTCCTAATCAGTGGGTCAGTCGACTTTCTTACCTATATTCTCCAAGCCCTACGTGACACCTTTCTACTTCTTTCCCTCACGTGTCTTGCTTAGTTTTAAATCCATGAATGTATTAGATTGTAATTATTTCTGTAGTTGCTTCTGGGTTTCCCCTTTTGATTTATCATGCTCATTGTTTGGGTTTTGCTCTGTACATACAATGAGAGAAAGCATTTCTATAATTGCTTTTTCACAAAAAGAATTTTGAGCTCGTACAGCTAAACATTTACGTCCAAGGTTTTGAAATAATGCTTTGGGGGGAAATGATTCCCTCCTGTCCTGACCGCTCATCTTCATAGTGTCTTGTCACAAAGGACTCATCAAATGCTGAACTCCTGTGGTCAGAGCCTTAACGTCTATTTCTTACTGTTTGAAGAATGTGGAATCATGTGACAGGGAAGAAAACCAAGAACAGGCAGGTTGCAGGGAAGGTCATTCAAATCACTTGTCACATAAGAAACTTCCTCCTTTTTGTTGAAGGAAATTCCTCCGTAAGAAGGAAGAATCCAATAAGAATATCCAACAGTCAAATCACTTGCCCAAATATGAGAGGGTCAAAGAACTGTGCCAACAGGCCAGGTACCAGACGGCCTGTGAACAACCTGGGCAGGTGAGTGACACAGCTTTTCTTCACCACCAGTCCTGTGCATCTCCATTTCTAATGTAAAAGATTTTCAACACACAAAATAATGTGCATTTATGTATAAATAAGTTTTTCAGAGTGGTCATGGAATGCTCACTGTGACACATCTCCCTTAACTGATAATTGTCTAACTAGTCCACTATGGGCCCCCTTGTCACTGCTTGGGCTTCCTCCTGTTATAGGAGATGGTACTCTCAGAGAGAGTTCTAGATATCCACCCAATTAGTGAGCACCAGTTCAAGATATTCAGACACATGAAATGGTAGACCAGTTAGAAAGATCAGAGACTGGTTCCATCTAAGGAGAACGCGCCATCCCTGGGGCCATTTAGAAGGGTCAAGAGGCTGCTTAGTCAAGTTCATGGGTCAATGCTGACTCTCTGGACAGTGAGCCACCCCGAGAGCCATGATGGGGGTCTTCCTCACCCTGAACTAAAGTCAGATGTCCTAACTCAGGGAGAGTTAGGGTTGGGGAATGAAAAGGGAAACCATACTCTGTTTGTTTATTGTTTTTACCTCGGGTCACAAAATTTCTGACATCAGATATTTCATTAGACTGAATCCTTTTCATTAATAAAAATATTACTATAGAATTCAGGGCTACCCAGAATACCAACTATTATCCATAAGAACTTAAGAAATACTGTATGATGAATTAACAGATTTGTTTTTAAGGAAAATGAGGACATATGAACTATTTTAAGCCCTCTTGATTGAAATCTATACAAGCTAAAAGAAATGCTATATCATAAGAGGAACTGACTTTCTGCCTAAGTCATTGCAACCTAGAACAAAATCTGAGGAAAGAGAAAAGCGACTGACATTTAGAGAGTGTTTGTCTTAGGTATGGCACCGTGTGTGAGGTTTTATATACATTAGCTCAATTTAATCCTCACACCTGTCAAGTGAAATAGACACTGGCATCCCCCTTTTGCCAATGGGCAGCTGAAAGGGGCAGAGGTGGGCAAAGGAGTGGCCTGATTCAAACATTCAGGCCTCTCGCTGCCTTCCAAAGTAAGTTATATTCACTAGGCGAAGAGAAGTTCAAGTCTTCTGTGAGTCTTTCAAAAAAAAAAGAAAAGAAAAAAAAACTTACCTGACCTCTAGATAGCCACACAGTTTGCCAACACCAGTCCAAGATATCAGACACACGAAATGAAGAGCCTGGTTATTATTAAAATGGTCTCGTTCATTATCCTCTTTTTATACAGTCTCCAGCTTATTGAAGAGACATTCATAACAAACACCTTGATCCTCCTGCTCTCTATGTTTCCTCATGTCTTTTGTGCACAGGGATTCCTTTGAAAGAGAGAAGGGTGAGGAGGGAGGGTTGTTGAAGGAAGGGGATAACACCAGGCCTCCATGGCGTTCTAGGAGGTGTTAGTTTTCAAGTGTTTAGTGGAGAAGCTTAGACCTATTCATTATCATTTAATTTGAAGTCTTCAAATCCTTCTTATGGAAGCTCTAAGTATTATTATGACTAAAACCTCAGAAATGTTCTGTAGCTCTGAAATGATTTCTGTGCGCCAGCCTCAATAGGCTAATCTACTGTCTGGGAGTTGGACACCCCCGTGTTAAATACATCTCATGCAAATGGGCAACCTTGTGACTATTTTAGCCCTCTAAGTGGTGAGCGTTATTACCGTTTGCGGACAAGGTAAACTGCCTACCTTTTAGTATGCAATTTTGCCAACCTCTCAATATAGCTTGCGCTGATTTTTGAGTATATGTCTTAAAGGGCAGAAGGCGCCTAAACTTGATTATGGTGCTTGGTAAAAGCTTCTTTACGCATATGCTGTATGCTATATTAAAAACTTCACTTTGGTCTTTCATATTTTTCTCAACGTGTTTGGCCCCCATGGAATGCTTTACTACCTGGCTCCTTGGAATTTTTCCTCTGCTGGTTTACTTCTGTCTTAAGCATTTTTAATTTAGACTCTATCACAAAACTATATGCAAAGGTTAGCAGCCATCTTTTTTAGAAGTGCCTCAAGTAATGGGACAGGGAATTAGACTATGCTCCCGATGGTGGTTTCCTTGAGTCTGAGAATGTCAAGAAAATATTGAGCCTCTTCAAGGCGGTTATCGCATCTGTAAGTCAAACCTGACATAGCTTAGTTGTGTTCTGTAGAATTTTTGTATTTAGCCTTTTGCTCTTTTGAAGATTGTCTTATCAGTTATAACATCACTGACTTTTAAAAAGGAAGAAAAAAAGTCCAGAATAATGAGATTGTATTGTTCAGGATCAAGGTGACAGCTAAGGCTAGAATTAACTTGCTTGGACTCTCTGCTCTTGACAATGATTTTACACCTGGCCTGTCTTCCTCTAACCAAGGGCAACCACCTTCCTTCAAAGGCAACACAATCTTCTCTTTGGTTTGACCCTCCATGGAGTGTAGAGGCAAAATCAGCATGATTAGCCCTATTCTCTTCACTCCTAATCCCCGAAGAGATAGTATGTGCCCCCTCCCACCCAACCTCCATGCCCGGTCATCTAAGGATTGTGGTAGGAGCAGTGTGGATGCATGAAATAGAGTAAATTTAAAAAAGAGTTGAAATCACTAGGTTTGGGTTAGACTATTGGCATCCACCACTTTTCAGTTATGTATCCTTGGACAAGACACTCAATTTCTCCTGGGTCTCAGGTTTTCTGTCTCTGAAATGAAAAAAATTCATCTCGGTCTTGTGAGGATAAGGCAACATCATGCACGTGCAGGGCTGTAGAGCAGCGCGCAAACGCAGGGAGGTGGTATTGTCCCAGGCTTTCTTACCTTTCGTCTTCATTCCCACGAAGAGAATGAAAATGGGCTGGAATCCCAGACTTTTGACATCCCTTCTCCACTCTGTGAACAGAACAAGCAGCAGACACTAATTAAGACAACATGGACACATCCGTTTTGCTTTATTTTCATGTTCCTGAATTAATACGAGACTGAGTGTGAATTCCCAGTACGTCTCAGCTGGCATCAACCCCCAAGCACATTTATGTACAGACACCACACACACACACAC